CTTCACCATGGTCCACACAAGAGCAGCTGTCTAGATTCACCAAGCTATCCATCAGGCTCAAATAGAGCGCCGAAGACAGGCTATTATAGCAGTAACTGTCATTGTTTTGACTGGACGGGCCTTGGTAGTAGCCTGCCCTAATCCCTCAAGTAGGATGGTCTCGGATGTCTGATCACAATCTACGCCGGTCATGGTAGCCATCCCAATACTCTATAGAGAGAGAATCAAGCAGGCTGCCAAAGGGGTAGAGCCTCGAGATAAGTTATGACCTGAGCTGATAACAACCGCCCGGAGTTACTGGGAGGCATCCGAACGCATGCACTCGCCCGAGTAACTCGAGTTTTCTCGAGATTGAAAACCGAGATATTATTACTATATTTGGGCATGAAATGCCGGTAACTCTAACTCCAACTCTTTGCCGAACAGGCCCTAAGGTGATATGAGCGTATGTACCAGGCAGACCAGGGATATTACACGGTGGGCGTTCCCATGTCCCCGACCATAGTACAGTCGACGAAAGCGACAGGCAGCCGATTTACCTGGGGTTTCAAAGGCTTTTGTGCAGAAAAGCCACACTTTTCACGAATAGCTTACAGGCCTCGTGCCTCTCCTTTTCATGCATTTTTCCCCGGTTGACAGCGAATGTAAAGATCAGCGTCGCATGCCCCGCGCCGGGTGGTGTGCTCGGATCAGCGGCAGGCACCTGCCGAGCCCCGCCAGCCTGCTCTCCGGCCACCTTCCAGCTCGGGGACACGCTCGCGGTGACTGTTCGAGACGTGCCCCGACGAGCAATGCCGCTTTTTGAGCTATAGAATACTCGATCTCTTACCTGGGATGTTCCCAACACAGATGCCCGGTATATTCAAGTGCTTCCAGAGGTGGAACAGAGTTGGGCAATGGCCTCGGTGCGGTAGGGTTGGGGCTCGGCGGGGGATTTCCAGTGATCCGAGCACACCACCCGGCGCGGGGCATGCGACGCTGATTTTTACATCCGCTGGAAAACCCCGGGATGCCTGCCGTGTTACCTGGCGACTGGCATCCGATATCCCAATATTGAGCCATATAGGTTCACAAGGGAAGCGCAGATACCCCCTTGAGTTTGAGACAAGAGGGCTGTACCGTAGTCAAAGGTCTGCAAACCTCCAACATAAGATGGGAAGGATATGAACATCTTGATGTCATTCGCCTGTCATACATGCTTGGCCATATCGCCAACGCGAGCTGAAGACATCGTCACGCCTACCAGACAGTCAAGCCCACTGTATGATGTCCGGCGAAGCATCGCATGTGGAGAAGAACGCAGGATGTGTATATCAGTGAGCTAGATATCGATGAAAGCAATGCTCGAGAGAACAGCGTTGGAGACAACGACGACGACGGAGGCCGGATCGGTCAGGCGAAGCGATGGACATCTTTTGTCTTACGTAATGGGCGTAGGCCGGGTGGGATTACCGAATGCGGGCGAGGGGGTGAGACCGCTGTGCGCAGTGGACTCGTCTATATGCGCTCCCTCTGATCTCGTTCTCCTCCGTCGTCTCCTTATCCTTATTATTTCTCTCTTAAACAACCCCAGTATTGCCGGTACATGCCCGGCATCGCTGTTCTTAGCCCGACTTCGCCCACTAATTTCTCCCCGAAGGTGACCGGTGAGTCAAGTCACTTCACAACGACCAGCGCAGCGACCGACCCCGAAACGCAGCGATGCAAAATGGAGCGTCGTACAACCGCGACACCATAGCCGAAATCAAGGCGGGCGCGAAGGAAATGACCCAGGGAGTTCGTGGGGCATCTGCTGCCCGTCTACTCGCGTCCGCTCGGAGCCAGATGCGTCTTGCTGCGACCCAGGAGATCGAAGGGGACCTCAAGGGCGCGCTCAGTGCATATACAAAGGCCGCGTCGTTGATTCAGATTTTCATGGATACCCCGGAGTTCAAGGCGGAGAGCCAGCCGGGGAGGAAGGGGATGCTCTTCAAAGATTTCTTTGACTTCCAGCAGGTGCGTACATGGGCTATTCTCTCTATGTTCCCAGGAAACTTACCAGTCGTAGACCGACGGGCGGGATATGATTGTGAAGACACAGGCAGTGGAGATGAAGTTGGCAGAGCTGGAGAAGTCTGCTTTCCAGTACGTGACATGGTCCTTCGCATCAGTGTAGCGTCTCGGGTAACACCTGTTGTATTTGCTGACCTCTGATCATGCAGGTCATCTCACGGCGAGGACGACTCTGAAAGCGCCGTTGTGATGACGGGCGGCGGAAGTATTGCAGACCGTATGCGCTCGCTAAAGAACGCCGGAATGGCGGTCTCGACGACGAAGCGCATATCTCGCGAGATACCCACCTCTCCCGTTCCTCCCTTGTCTCCCCCGATGTCTCCTACTGCCGCTCGCCCGCCTAGTCTGCTTTCACTGCAGATGCTCTCTCCTCCGACGGCTCCGCCTTCTTCGTTTTCACGCTCGTTGGACTCCCCTACGGTCTCCGCTCCATCGCCCCACGTCTTGGTTCCGACCTCTAGCTTCGGACCTCCGTCCCCTTCGTCTTCAACCTCATCGTCGCCGCAAATGTCTGCGCCTACGTTGCAAGACTTTACCACGAACTTCCCTTCGATCGACGAGCTGGAGGAGATGGAGGGGATGAAGATACCCCCCAATCCGACTGGCGCGAGCAGTTCCGGGGCCCGTACGAGCAGCAGGAAGCCCTCTATATCGCATGCAAACGGCGTACCTCCCATATTCCATCCCAAGCCGTTCCCCAGTTTGCCTATGGACATGGGCCCGCGTCCGTCGAGCACGCCAATCCCGCCGACGATCGATACCTTCCAAAGCCGTCCGAGCTCCCCCATGCGGATCCCCGTATCGCCGACGGTCCCTCGGAAGCCCTCGTATCTGTCTATGAACACGACGATGAGCTCCAGTTATTCGTCGAATCTGAGTACGAGCGTCCCGAGGTCCCCCGTCATTCCAGCGACGCCCATCGCAGAGAAGGCGGAGCTCCCATTCAAGACCTTATTCCCACAGACGCTGCACGAATGGAGAGATAAGCCAAACTTCAAGATTTTGCTACTAGACGTTCGCACGAGGGAGGAGTTTGAGCGAGAGCACATCAAGGCGTCTGCGGTGGTATGCATAGAACCCTCCATCCTTCAACGCGACAAGTGAGTCCGTCTGCCACGTTTCTGTGCACCTGACTGACAACACGCTTCTCGCGCGCGCGTCTCGCAGCGTGAACGGATCAACAATCGAAGACGCGCTCAGCATCAGTCCGCGGGACGAATCCGTCCTGTTCGCGAACCGAGACAAGTTCGACCTGGTCGCGATCTACGACGACGCGTCCGAGAACATGGGCGACGTGCACTCCCCGGTCTCCGTCCTCTTCAAGGCGATTTACGAGACCGCCTTCCGCAAGATCCTAAAGAACATGCCCATGCTGCTCATCGGCGGATTCCAGGCGTGGAAGCGCGAGTACGGCGAGGAGGAGACCCTATCTGGGTCCTCCGCGTCCGGTGCGCGTCCTATCCATGGTCTGGCAAACGGCATCAGCCCGTCGCTTGTCAACGGGACCGGGGTGCCTGGTACGCCCCCGACGGAGCCTAAATCGCTTGGGCTGGGACACATGCGGGCCCCTGCAGAGTCCTCAACCGCGTCTACCATCATTTCCCCAGTGCCCTCGGTGCCGACAGTGGATTTTGGTGCAATCCCGATGGGACGCGCGAGGTCGGGAACGGAGTCGGCTGTGGACCCGAATGCACACCGACCGTGGATCCCGAGTGGGGTGCGGTCGCCAGCGGAGCCTGCACCTAGTTCACCAAGGTATGTAACATGTACGCACGTGTCTGGGTCGTACGAACACCTTCCGTGCGTGATCAGCGACATAGCGGAATTGCGTCTCCGGCTCGTGGTGACTCAGATGCGACCGTTGTGATACTGATGTCGGTTGGGCAGGTTAGGAATGGACAGCGTAGGCTCACTCCCGCCGATGGACAAGCGGTTGTCTCGCAGACCGGCGATGTCGCGGAGCGGCTCGAATTCTGTATCATACCCAGCGACGTATACACCTATGATTCCTGAGAACGTAAGCTCGCGTCCATTCTGACATCATTGCTTTTGTTGACGGTTGCTTTGTAGATGACAATGCAGCATGTCTCACCTCCTCTCGTAAACGGTAAATCTTCTATCCAATACCCCCAGATCGCCCGACATGTCTCTCCTCAAGTCACCGGCTCCTCGTTCTCTCCTACTTCCGCAGGCGTCAACGGCCTATCGCTTCCACCTCAGGCTTCGATCAACCCCTCCCCGCTCTCCCGTCGACGCAGCGACTACATCGACCAGTCCCAAGAAGCGCTCAATGGGTTGGCCAACCGCACACCGATCGACTATCCCGAGCTGTCTGCGCAGCACATCCTGAGGCCCCCGCCGGTAGCCGCGTCGTCGACGCTCGACAAGCGACCGCGAATCAGCAACTACTTCGCACAGGCGCAGACCGGGCCGAGGCCGCCGACGATCCCGTCCGACTACCCGGTTACGTACTGGTCAGACACGCAGATCGGGACGAGTGGGCTGAAGAACCTGGGCAACACGTGCTATATGAACTCAACGATACAGTGCTTGAGTGCGACGGTACCGTTCTCGCGGTTCTTTACGGATGGGCGGTGGAAGAGCGCGGTAAACATGGTGAACCCGATGGGCACGAAGGGGGTCCTAGCGCTCGCGTTCGCGAATATATTGAGGGATATGTGGCAGGGCGAGGGCGGGACGCTTTCCCCTGTTACTTTTCGTGTGTGTACACGCATATCCAAGATATCTTGAGCTCCGCGATGCTGACACGTTGCTTCCTTGCTCGCAGCGTTCTATCTGCAGCCATGCACCCCAGTTCTCTGGCTCGGAGCAGCACGACTCACAGGAGTTCCTCAGCTTCCTGCTGGATGGCCTGCACGAGGATCTGAACCGCATATTGCAGAAGCGGAACATCGAGTCGACGCCGGAACGGGAGGCCGAGCTCGAGAAGTTACCTACGCAAATTGCAAGCGAACAGGAGTGGCAGATATACCGCATGCGCGATGACAGCCTCATCGTCGACTTCTTCCAGGGACAGTACCGGAATCGCATGGAATGTCTCACGTGCCACAAAGTGCGTCCTATCTCTATTTTCGCAATCCGAATCGCGATGGTTGCTGACACTTAGTTTCGGCAGACGTCAACGACGTATAACACTTTCATGTATCTCACGCTGCCGATACCCACGGGCCGGGCGTCGAAGGTTACGCTTCAACATTGTATAGACGCGTTCGTGAAGGAGGAGGTTATGGAGAAGTCTGATGCTTGGTACGGCCCGGCATCCTCGTCTTACGGTAGATCGTGGACGAGCTGACCCCACGTCTCGGTACAGGAACTGTCCGCATTGCAAGGCGCTGCGGAAGGCTACGAAGCAGCTGTCACTGTCACGATTACCGCCGGTGCTCCTCATCCATCTCAAGCGCTTCTCTGCAAAGGGCCCATTCACGGACAAGATCGAGACATTCGTCGAGTTCCCGCTGAAGGGTCTGGACTTGACAAATTACATGCCGCCACCGCTCCCCCCGGGCGCCATTGGCGTGCCACCGCTCTCACCCGACGACCCGAGGTGCCAACTGCCGCCATACCGGTATGATCTATATGCCGTGACGAATCACTTCGGGACGTTGAGTACCGGACACTGTAAGTGGCGTCTTGCAGCTGCGTATGAGTCATCAGGACCATATCTTATGCGATGGATAGATACGGCGTTTATTGCTTCTAGGGGCGGGTGGCTGTATTGCGACGACAGCCGTGTAACACCAGCAGACGCGAAAGATGTAGTAGTACGTGTCCTTCCCTATTCGTACTCATTAGATCATGCTGACGATCTGAAACCTGAATACAGGGCAAACCAGCGTATATCTTGTTTTATAAGAGGACCAAAGCGTAACAACGTATATCCCTACTTACTCCCTTACATATAACCCTGCATCTCTTCTTCAGTTATCGGATCTTGCTGTCAGTTGTACTTGTTTGTTCTGTTCACTCATAACCACCCCCTGCCACTGCATCGTTATCGCGAGACACTACTCTTCGTAATACCATAGCACTTGTAATCGTACAGCAAACAAACTAGCGGAGGTTGACTATATACAACACGACAGGGCTATGACTCTGGAATCAAACATGCATCTGCCACGCATGCTCATCTACGTATGCATCTAATGTTCAATGATGGTCGCCGACAGCGTCCGATGTGAGCGCGTGTAGTACCTGCGAACTGATGAAACTTTGACCAACAGCTTGTGGTCAGCGGCGCGCTCAGTTCAGTATCCTGCCGACAGGGAGAAACAATCAGCCTTCGCCGTGCTCCGAGTCCGCGGTCGGGTCCGGCGGAAGCCACGGAGCGCGACACAGGGCCCGCCATTGTCATGACGCCCCGATGCCGATGATGACAGGGAAGGTCTTCCTGCTCTCCGTATGGCACTTGTGGCACAGCCACGACTTGGGCTGGGCGTCGCCCCCACCGCTGCCCGACTGGTGGTGCATGTTCGTCGCGCTCGTCGCGACTTCGTGGAAGAACGGCGAAAACTCTGTCTGGCACCGGTAGCAGTGCGGGTCTGCTGAGGCGCTGTGGCTGAGCCCATTGCTGTAGCCGTTCGTCTTGGGAGCGCTCGGGCCTGGTACGACACCCGGAGTGCTCGGGGTGCTCTCGTCGACGGAGGTGGTGGAAGCTGTGTCGGCGGACGCTTGGAGGATCTTGTCGAGCCGACGGGCTTTGCGGAGGAGGCCGTGCGTCTGGTCCACCTGGGCCTGCTTGTAATTCCTGCAGTAGATCTGGAGCGCCGTCTGTGGCAGGTTGAGTTCGCGCTCGTAGACGGGTAGTTGTAAGAAGACAGGGATCCTCAACGTACCTCGCCAGCATCGTTGGTCTCGCAGATGTCGTAGATCTGCCGCTTGTGGCCGACGTGCGATTTGCACACGACGACTGGGACTAGAAGGCCAGCCTGGCCCTTGAACTCGACCGTAGGTGTAGTTTCTCGGCTCCGACTCTTGACCTGCGCGAACGCAGCTTAGCTTGTGTGCGCATGCGGACGCCATCCTGAGGACGTACCTGTTGAACCTCGAAGCCGAACTTGTGCCCCTGCTTCCACGCACAAGAGACATGGAATTCCGCCGGGCATTCGCTACACTGGACGACCGCGCCATCCTCGCGGTCGCACAACGTGCAGTTCTGTCCGCGATGAGGTCAATACATAGATAGGTGGGACGCAGCCACAAGCAGGATCGCTCACGTTTTGCCACCGATAGACTGGTATCGCACTGATGCCCTCCACGAGCCGCAACTTGCCCGCATCGGAGTAGGTAATCTCGGGTATGAACACGGAACACAGCACGTGCACCCACGCCTGCCCTTCCGTAGGCTTGCACGCGCGCAGGTACGAGTCGGGCGGGGGGTATATCAGCTTCTTCTTCGGGTCCCGCCGCATCCGTGGGCACAGAAGACAGTCAGGTATCTGCAAAACACAAAAGAACGCCAATCCGATCTCCCATCAGAGCGGCCTCGCCGAGATCAGGCGAAGAAAGCCTTACCAGAGACGCCTCCAGCGACTTCTCGTTATTGCAGAGGTCGCACACCCAGCTTTCGGCCGTTGCGGGGTCAGGTGCGATTCCGCACGCGCCGGCGTGGACACGGAACTGGCACTGTTTGCAGCGCAGAACCTTGCCTACGGGCCCGTTCCGCTGGCACGCGACGCATCGCAGCTGCGGGGCAACAGGGGGTGGCGTAGACTGTGATGAAGTAGTCTGCATGGACTGTCTCGTGAGCCCCCACGCACCCCCTTACCGCGCGAGAAGAGAACCTACCTTTGCGCGCTTGGCCGAAGGCGCAGTCAGCGGCGTGCCCTCGCGCTTGTTCTCCGCCTTCGCTTTCGGCGTCGGTACGACATCCTCGCGCATCGGACGGACGTTGAGGTCGGCGTACTTGCGCCAGCTCAGGCCGCAGCTGTCGCAGAGGACGCCGGTGGGCAGGCCCTTGGGAGCCTTCCACCACACGTCGGACTCGCGTGTGCGGCACGCGCCGCACAGGTTCTGGTTCTTCTTCAGTTCCGTCACGATCGAGCCCTCGTCGTCATCGGGCGTGGCCTCGCGCAAGGACCCTTCCACCTTCTCGTCGAGGCCACTCGCCCTGGCGGCGCGTATCCGGACATTCTCCTCGCCGAGCTTGGAACTGGATGCCGAACGGTTAGTGGCGGAATGGAGGTGTCGAAAGACAGAAAAGGGGACGCACTTCTTCCAGTGTCCGTAGAAGCGCACGACCTCGGGCATAGTGCGCGTACCAATCTCCTCACGGACGGCACGAAGTTCGGCGCCGTGCATCGAGATCGCATCCTCGAAGGCGGCCACTTCGTCAGGACCCCAGTCCTTGTCAGTGTATCTTGTCTCGTTCTTCTTGAACTGCACACGTAACACAATTGGTACTCTGGACCTAATGCAGGACGTCTTGTTATCTCACCTTCTGGAGGCGCATGGGTGACCTCATGCTGACGGTCGAGAAATCGCGCTTGTGGATCCATGCCTCCGTGAGTCGGAAGGTCACTTCGGTCAGCCAGTCAATGCTGTAACGGTGTTTCTCGATCCTGGTCAGCAGGCTCTTCTGCTTCTCGACTGTGTAATCAGTCAGCAATGTTCGGTTTCCGGACTTGCCTAGTGAAGAGCACTCACATGCTTCGACTACAAGACGGATCTGGGTATATAAGCGCTCAACCGGGAAACTGGCTCGCACGCACCTTCGGCCGCAGGCATCTCGTTGACAAGACTCAACACCTCGATCGTCGTGTCTCCGCCTCGCTCCTCGATGTCTTCTCACCGCCGTCAGAGCGAGCATACGTCATGCGCACGGTGGACGTACCGATTGGCCTCTCTGCGGTGCCTGGAGCAGCCAAGGCACCCACCTGGTATTTGGGTCCGACACGGGTCGCCGCACGTGGGAAGATGAGATCGTCGGGATCTGTGTGGTCCAGAACCAGCATCTGCACCGTCAGAGACCGCATCTGCCCCTCCGCGGGGACGTCACGTACCTAGGGTGTCTTCCGCAAACGTGTACAACCTGCCCAAGCCCCGGCGCACAGCGTCAGCCTCGCACGAGCCAGCGAGAACCGCCCCCATTTCCGCTGAGCGGGGGCACACGCTGCACTCACCCGAAGTACCGAAACGGCCACATCTTGAAGTGCTTGATCTCCACGTTCTCCTCCTTCTCTGCCAGGACGCGGTCTTTGCGCGGACGCCCCCGCCCGCGCGCAGGGGGCGCGTTCGTCTTCGGCTTCGGGGCGACCGGAGTATGGTGCCGCATGTCGTGCTTCTCGACCTCCTCCTCGTGTGCACGCGAGCACGGCGCGCACGTCCAGCCGTACCCGCGGCTCGGCTTCGAGAGCATCGGGGGCGTGACGCACTCCATGTGGAAGAACTTCTTGCATCGGTCGCATTGCAGAGATTCCGCGCTGTACGAGACGAGGGGCAGAGAGATGGCGTCAGCACGTCTGGGCTTCGCTCTCTCGGGCGACACCTACGGTGGGACCCATTTCTCACACGTATCGCAAGTGCGGAGATCGTCCGTGAGGTCCGGGACCACCTCCCGCTCGGCGACTATGTATTCGTAGCGTTCGACGAGCACGTCTCTGATGTGAGCCGGCACTACAGACGAGATATATCAGCACTCCACCCAATTTGGTGTCCTCGAGCGCGCTAAAGCGGTGCCTGCGAACAAAGCATCACCAGAGCCACCCACCGTTGCGGACGGTCGTCGCAGGGATGACCTCGAACTCCTTCCTCAGCCAGGGGTCGAAGAGCCGCGTGAAGTAGAACCTGTCCGGCCGCTTCTTCCAGCCCGCGAGGTCCGAGATCCTGTCGCGGTGGTGCACGAAGCACTTGGCCCGCAGCTGACTAAGCTCGCACACCTCCGAGTAGATGGCCGCGAGCAGCAGGCGCGAGTCCGCCACCGTGCGGTCCGAGACGTCGCTCGGACGGTAGTACCACGCGAGGCGGACGCGGGTGATGGGCTCGTTGCGCTTCCCGCTCTTGTCGAACGTCGGTGTGCCTTGCGCGGGGAGGAACTCCATGATGCGCGCGATCGAGTACGGGGTGCCGTCGCGCACGCCCCAGCTCGGCGAGCAGTAGACATGGTCTGGAAAAATCAGCACGGGGCTCTGACGGGCTGAGAGGGTTGGGGAGAGTTACCATTGACTTTAACCTCCTCGCCATTCTTGAGGGTGATCTTGAACGCCTGCGAGGAAGGCATGGCTGCGTCTAGCGCCCGTGCTAGAGTGGGGGCGGTTGGAAATGGGACGGAATGTAGCTAGAATAATACGCAAGAGCGCCCGCCGGGGATATGGAGACAGATGAGGATGCAGAGAGATATTTCTCGGGGGGTTGGGGGATGAGGGAGTTGGGAAGGAGAGGTAAGGTGGTTGGAGTGGGGGCGGCTGGAGATGGGACGAAAGGGAGTCTGAATAATACACCAGAGCGCCCGCAGTGGATATTCAGACAGATGAGGATGCAGAATATTTCTACAGGGGTTGGGGGATGACGGAGGTGGGAGGGAGAAGTAAGATGGTTGGCACGGGCCACACACGGGAACGAGACGTCGAGATCTGGGTCGAGCGCCCGCTGGGTGGATAGAGGGTATGAAATAGGTGCTTAAGACACCGAAAAAAGCTGTATGGCCCTGTGTGGGGTCTTTAGGATGGGCAGAGGGGCGGAAGGATTATTCGAGGGGAGTCGGAGGGATGATGGTGGTGGAAAGAGGACGGACGGGAAACCAGATCTGCTCGCTGAACGGTAAGATTCAACTCCGACAATCCCCTGCGCGGAACCTCCTGCCCACTGCCTCCACTGGCACCCAAGCTACAGACGCCGCCTACTGTCCTCCCAGATTGCAATGCTATTGATGGATACCCCACGGAGGTGCGCATAGAGTCTTCCTTCATCGACGGCCTCCCTAGAGTACAAGGAAACCCGCCCAAATACCTTTGTTTGAATCAAGCACGTCTTGCGTAAACGGGCTCTCGAAGACCTGTGACGACGGCATCGCCTCTAACACTTTGTGGAATTTGCACTGAATCGCTCCCGGGCCGTTGGGCTTACCAGAATTTGTGAGCTTCCAACTCGTGGTCGGGTTCTTACAGGTAACTCTCGGAATATCGCCTGCATTGACTCTGGTGGGCTGCTGGAAGGTATTACCGCGGAAGCGGCCAACGACAACGCAGCGTCGCCCTCAAAGAAGCACGGAATATGCCGAGCGGCGGGTGTCCCGGTCCACGCCGAAACATCTTCCTACAACAAACGTCTCTGCCCTACTGACCAATATTCTGACACACGAAGGCTCTTTGGCAAGCTGGGCTGGATTTGCAATCCATAGAAGGCCAGAATGACATTTAGAGTAGACCACGGTCGTCATAAAAGACAAAAGCATAGTACATCCCCAAAATGGGCACATGACGATAGGCGATTGTCATCCCATGGATTAACACACTTATGTTATCATACAGGAGGTACAAGGGACGAGGAAACTATGATACATGGTGAATGCATAGACGAGCGTGCGGCTAGCCCTTCTTGAAGCCTGCAAGGCATCGGGAGCGTAAGTTAGAGAGAAGTACGAACCACGTTTGGTGAATAACCACGCACCTAAACGACGCCTCTCGTAGAACAAATCTGTCCTGCTTGCTCCAAGATTGACGATCTTCGGACATCCATCGCGGTCCTTTTCTAGCCTTGTGCACTCGGCACAGTAGTACGCGTCAGAGATACCTGCCGGTTACGTATGAGCGGACGACGGTGGCCGAATGGGTAAGGCCACTCACCAGGAGAGCCGCAGATGATGCACCGTCCTCCGTAAGTGCCAAAGTTGCATTCGTCACAGATGCGGACAAGGGTCTCGGGGCGTACGTAGGAATCACAGACAGGACTGCGTGGCGCCTAGAGTCAGTACATGAACCTGGCGCGAACACAGGCTACGGAGCTGACCATTTTCCGTCGCACTTCTCACACAGACGGCCGATGGCTATTGAGGCAACAAGTCAGCTTGATGTCGCCACCATGGGGTTAGAGGGATACATACCAATGCCTGGCTGCCGCCTGCACATGATGAGATCTAGCGTACACACACCGTCAATGCTGTGATTGCACAAGAGCAAACATACGGGTATTCACCTGGGTGATGTTTGGACATGGTTGTCGAAGGTCAGCAAGTGATGAGGAGGATGGTAAGAGAGTTCGGAAGGAATGCGAGGACACCGAGCCAACCCCGAGCCAAATACCAGAGGCGCCAGGAACTTTCTCAAAAGCTTAGTCAGCTCATTGGGTCAGAGCCAGCGCCCGTAGATACTCCGGTGTTCTCGGCTTGCAACATCAACCTCCTTGTCTATTGTTTGTTCTTGCCAGTACTAATGCTCAGCCAATTCTCTGCTAGGAGGGTCCCTCAGATATATCTTTGCTGCATTTGTTCACGCTGCGCTTGACCCGACTCGGATACCTATCTTTCCTCACCCATCGCTCTGAGGTTGGAACGGAAGTGTCGCTTCTGCATATTCGCATCTATAGCAATCGCCGCACGTACGCCTGGCAGCATTTCCACATCTAGGATGTTGTCGGCGGATCATCAGTTTCTCCTCGCTTGGATGCGCGACGTAGCCTGGACCGACTGAGCTGCGCCGTCTCTACTCACCTCCTTGGCCTCAGATACAGAAGGGGGCCGAAGCATCTTGGCATGAGACACACAGAAGCCCTGAACCTAGTCATCAACAGCTTTAATGCGTCTCACATGGGATGCCTCGTGCCAACAAGCCGATTGAAGATGAGCAATGTATACCTATTGCAGCGCGTCACGAGGGAGAGATATGAGCAATCAGTCTATCCTTCTATGTACATCCTCACTGACACCGCACAAGGTGGTATAATGGTATCTACGGCACATAAGCTACTCGCCGCTTACAGGACGAATGGACAATTCGAACTAGGACGACCACGCGTTCACTATCTATCACTCCTGAGGGTGAATCCAAAAACAGCGACAGACTTCCCCGATCCTGTCCCATCAAGCAGTCTGCCTCTCCTTCTGCTCCTTTGTGAACTTCGCCATCGCCTTCAGAACGGAGGCGGGAGCGTCTGGGCTGACGCAAGCCTGGAGGTTCTCATCCGAGATGACTGCGATGCGGTTCGCCACCGTCATCCTCTCCTCTTCCCATGCCGCTATAGCCTCCTCCCGTTCTTCTACGCTCCTTCCGCTGTTGATCGCGTTCGCGAGGATAACACCGAGCTCCAGGGCATCGAGCATCGCTCCCCGCCGCCGAACGGGCTCGCAAGGTGTGCCGCGTCCCCGAGGATCGTGACCCCAGGGACGTGCTCCCACTTGTGGTCAAGCGGCAAGCGATACAGGGGGCGTTGGTAGGTCGTATTGTCGTCGCAGTACTCGATGAGCTTGCGAAAGCTCGGCGCCCAGTCCTTGAACAATTCGAGCAGGACCTTGCGCACCTCCGCAGGCTCGTCCGGGAGCTTCCAGTCGGCGGGCGCAGGGAACCAGGCGTAGGTCCGGATGAGGCCGTCGCCGTTGAGCTGCGAACCGAACATCTTCTCTGGGCCCCAGGAGAACATGCTACCGCGGCCGACGAGCTCGACAGCGTCCTGCAGCTCTGGCTTCTTGGTGTCCTCGGGTGCGATGGAGATTTCGGCCCCGGTGACCCCTGTGTACGTCGGTACGGCAGCAGAGACGAGCGGACGGACGCGCGAATTGGCGCCGTCGGCTCCGTCGAGGATGTCGACCACGGTGGTGTTGCCGTTCGCGAACGTCAGCTCGCGCTCCCCGTTGCCGAGGTCGCGCACAGATGCCAGAGCGTGGCCCCATTTGACCGCGTCGGCGGGGATCGCGTCCACGAGGATCTTCCGCAGCACGGAGCGGTCGATCTCAGGGCTGATATCCTTCGGATCATGGTTGGGGTCGGGGTCCTGGGCGAAAAGGACGTTACCCGCAGAGTCATACCCGCGCATGGCGGCCGCCTCGGGGCGAGAGTTGCACGCAAAGGTCTCCTCGAGACCGTTCTCGCGTAGTGCGCGCTGGCCGCTCTCATATTTGAGATCCAGCATGCCTCCAATGTGGGCGCGAGAGTCAAAGCTCGTGTCGCGCTCGTAGACGGTGGAGGGTATTCCGTGCCGGTAGAGAGTGAGGGCAAGGACGAGGCCGCCGGGACCTCCGCCGATGACTGCGATGCGAGGGTAGGTAGGTTTAGCCATCCTTGTTAGAGTTGTTGTAGACGTTCAACAGTGAACTCTGACATGTTGACACTGTGCCCAGCTTAACGTACCTTCGTTGACTGGTCAGTAGTGGGGATGTGTTAAACTCAACTTGATTGGTGACTATGTGTCCAGACTGCATTGGGCTCTTTATGTGGAGTTAATCGGCATCCGGCATCCTGGACTGATGTACGAAGTACATCGGCTGAGGCGGGGTATACTCGCCGAACGAATGCGTTCCTGAATGCCTGCCGAATCGCGTAGATAGCCCGGCCTTCCTCAACCGTAGCCTTGCCAAGGTACTCCTCCAGCCGCGAACATCACAGGGTTCGGCTTGTTCCCTGCTGGGAAGGATAGGACGTGGCCTGGCATGACACTCAAAAGTGCCAGTGGGGTATCTGTGAAGCGCGCGCCAGTCAGTCTTCTTCATGTCGCGAAGCCGCGCAAGCACTGAGAGGGGATTCCAGGTGAGTCGATTTAAAACAGCCTCAGAGCCTGACTGGCGACCCTGGGTTCTAACAAAAGTTGTCGCCTACGCTGGGACAAGCGGGAAGAATGCAAAGGGACGTACGAGGCGCGAGCGAACCATTCCTTCTTCAACTGCAGAAGAGTCCTTCTCCACATAGCAGAACTGAAGCCCCATTTCTGAGGAGGATAGGAGAATTATCACTGACCCCAGAGTAGAACGTGACATAGTCTCCATCGGCCAGGTAAGATATGTCTCTATGTGCAAAATGTTGAAAGACGATAGATGGCCAGCGACGTACCGTTGTGGATGGGCGCCTACCGCGGTGCTTACGTCATTGAAAGCCGTCCTCTCAGCTGCCAGTGCGCTTGGCCAAAACACCGCACTCAGCGTACTCACCTCTTGCTCTCTCGCTCCCACGATGGCCATGCTACTCTAGCAGGTGTCTATGACAAACTGGAATCCTCATGCCATGCCTGTCAAGGGCGAGCTTACTGTTCCGCGTCGACACCAGGCTGGTTGGAACTGCAGCGGAATTCCAGCCTCATGTGAGTCGATTTGGCTCTGCAGCTTCAATGTGTTGCCAGTCACGTAAAGTAATCCTTCTGTCTCTGCCTGTGTAGGCCTTGCGATCAGCTAGCCACAACTCCTCAAGTCACAACGAGACGCCCCTAGATTCCGCCGGGCCGGCGGGCATCGCGGGCAGCGTCGTTCATGGGCGCCTCATGCGGATTTTCTTGCGTCATTCAGTTATGTCCGTTGTATCTCGGCCTTTGACACATTCCTCCAGGCTCGTTCTCCATCGTTGGATAAACCTATCACTTGTTGCCCTGCCATCTTCTAAGCTTCCTTTCGTCCGTAAGCACACACAAGCACCCGCTCGAGATGCTAGTAGCGAGCCTTGTCGAGTACCCCGGCATCATTCACAACCCTTTCGTCTGTGGGACTCGTTGTGTCGACTGCAAGGCTCTCAAGCGATCTCTTGTTCTCTGTAATGACGACGACAGGAAGGCCGCGTTACAAGCCCTTCGCGCTGACGGATTCAAGCGGGCGTATGTCGTCTGCTGGCTCAATGGACTCGTCCACCAGGCCCCTCTACTCTCCCACCCACTCGAAGACAGCGCGGGCAGTGGGAATTCATACTATGTCGAGGAAAAAGTCAACACTCTCATTCATTTGGCCACGGCTCTCATCGCAGTTTGCGCAGGGTCCGCCGCCCTCAGGACCCTTACCCGCCAGTACGCTCTCTACGCGCCTTCCCTCGAAGCGGACGTCGACATCAGCTTCACAGACCTCTCTATCTCTGTCGACGCTGACTCAATGACGGTGGGGACGCAGACGTGGCTCTGTGCGTGTCTCATAGCGGAGATGTGGGTGGAGGAACCCGGCAAGTTCGGCTTGACGGACGAGGTGCGGAGCCGCGCTGAAGGGATGCGGGTACTAGAGCTCGGGGCGGGGACTTGTCTGGTATCGATTCCGTTCGTCCGTCTTCGAAGTTGGCGCTATCTGTGTCTCCTTCAGCCACTGTCCAGATCTCTTCTGGTGAGGCCGCTTCAACAGGGATTTCCCCCTCTCTAGGATTCGCCATACTTATCCAATGCTCCTGCCTATTGAGCCCATAACTTAGGTACATGACAGGGTACGTGGTCGTTTGCGATTTGCTGACATACGTGTCCACGATGAAATCACTGCGGAGGGGTCTAGTTGCGCCCCGTGAGAGGTCCTTGGTGCCTGATGTCGTAGAGCTTACAACCTCGCGTCGATCGGCTTTCACTAGCGTACGAAATTCATGGCTCCTGCTTTCCGCACTCGAGCTCGCCGAAGGAACGCTTACCGTACAAGAAGCATTTTCCTTACCTGACGCCAAGGGCGGCACCCTGCAACCTCGCAAGCGTCACCCCTCAGCAAGTTTGAGCGGATGGTTCGGGTTCCCTTATGACGTTTATAAGGACTCACAGTGGCCAGCGCGGACGGACCAGCTGAAGTATTTGCCGGACAGGAGACGTAGTCCTCGATTACCAGCGATCCGTTATCACATTATTGGTTTTAAAGAACTGAGGGATATCGGGCCTTGGAGGTGTGACAGTTCTCTCGTTATCCAATATCGTTGAACAAAGTCTGCAGAGCCGTAGCGCGAGACGGACAATGACCTACACTACAATGTGGAGCATGAAGACCGCTTCAGGGAGCAGCACCGTGACACATCTCAAAGAGGCGACTCCGGACTAATATTTCCGATCCAGACCTATCAAGCCTTCCGCCTCACCGCGGAGTCACCCATACGCTTGAACATCGACTGAAGCATGCTCGCAGGGTCTTCCGTGCTCGTCCAAGCCTGGACGTTGATGTTGGCAATGACGGCGAAATGATTGGCTGCCTCTATCCTCTCCTTCTCCCATGTCGCTACAGCTGCCTCCCGTTCCTCTACGGTGCTCGCGCCGTTGATTGTGTCCGCAAGGACAATGCCGAGCTCCAGCGCATCAAGCATCGCCAGATTGACACCTGCACCTGCGGCTGGGCTCATGAGATGCGCTGCATCCCCGAGGATCGTCACCCTAGGGACGTGCTCCCACTTGTGGTCAAGCGGCAACCGGTACAGGGAACGTTGGTAGATCGCACCGTCGTCGCAGTACTCGATGAGCTTGCGGAGGCTCGGTGCCCGGTTCTTGAATATCTCGAGCAAGACTTTGCGTGCCTCGGCTGGCTCGTTCGGGAGCTTCCAGTCCTCGGGACCGGGGAACCATGCATAGGTGCGTATGCGGCCATCGCCGTTGAGCTGCGAACCAAGCATCATCCCGTGCCCGAAGGAGAACATACTGCCGTTGCCGAGCATGCTGATGACGTCCTGTAGCTCTGGCTTCTTCGTGTCCTCCGGTGCAATGGAGATTTCGGCCCCAGTCACCCCGTGGTATATCGGAACAGCCGAGGAGATGAGCGGACGGACGCGCGAGTTAGCGCCGTCGGCCCCGACGAGGATGTCGACCACGGCGGTATTGCCGTTAGCGAACGTCAGCTCGCGCTCCCCGTTGCCGAGGTCGCGCACAGATGCCAGAGCGTGGCTCCATTTGACCGCGTTGGCGGGGATGGCGTCGACTAGGATCTTCCGCAATACCGAGCGGTCGATCTCAGGGCGAACGTCCAGCGGATCCTGATTCGGATCGGGATCCTTGGCGAAGAGGAGGTTGCCCTCGGGATCGTATGCGCGGAAACTGTCCGCCTCGGGGCGGGAGTTGCGCGCGAAGACCTCTCCGAGACCGTTCTCGCGCAACGCGCGTTGGCCGCTCTCGTACCCGAGGTCCAGCATGCCTCCAAGGTGGGCGCGGGAGTCCGCGCTCGTCTCTCGTTCGTAGACGGTGAAGGGTACTCCGCGACGGTGGAGAGTGAGGGCGAGGGTGAGGCCGCCGGGGCCTCCGCCGATGATTGCGATACGAGGGTAAGCCGTTGTGGCCATTCCTATTGAAGCTGCCTGGGGCGGAATTGAACTCGTATCGTTTTTCTATGTGTGGATTGCAAGCTCACCTTATTTGCGTTCACTGTGAGAAGTCGAGTTGCTTTCGAGGTGCGTACAACTGGGAGTACTTGGGTGACTATGCAGTCCAACCAATCCACATCGCGTCCTGTTAAATAGGACCTGACCAGGTGAAGCCTCTCGGTGGCTTTGCGTATGAGCCGAGACGACGCGTACTAACCTCGAGTCTCAGAGAACGCCAGGCTGTCCCCAGCGGCAGCCTTGCCGAAAGGTTTCCTCAGCGACTATGAAACGGGCGTCACAGACTGCGTAGCTGCGGAGGGAACATTTGAATTCCAGTACTTAGGGATGCACCGCGGTCAAGCCACCGTGGTGTGTACCACGATTGTCGGTGAACATCTGTGGTGTGGCAAACGCCCAAACCCTTCAAAGCGAGCCAACTCCAGAGACGCTAATGACCTCCCGTGTGCTGGAGGAAAGCCCCAAGCTCTCATATCGAGGTGAAAGTTCCCCATGAACTTCTTGGTGATACTTTGGAAAGAATCAGAGGTAATTCAGAGTGCTCTTATAATGTTTTGATAACCCGGCACGACCACGACGAGCTTCCGGAGGCGAGCTTGGACGTAAGTCCCTGTAATTAGCGGAACCATTTGGGAAAATCCGCCAAGCACGAACTTGGACGCGTAGGTGAGCGGCCGCCATACTGAGACGCCATTCACGGGTTGACCATGGTGTAGTGCTTACGCGGCCTGCTGCGTCCAGTCGTGAACGTTCTCAAGCCCGGCACCAGTATCCCTTAGCTTCCTGTCCGGTTCTGGGCGGCACATGTTCAGGGTATTACGGCATGACGAGCACCGAGACATCTGAGAAGAGCATCCGAAGAAATCGAACCCATTGACACAGCCCCGACGAGATCCACCACGACTGCGGCAACCGGTTGACGGCCGTATCAAGATTCTACTGTACGATGAAGGACGATTTTGGTGGCGGGCATAAAGGACTCCTTGGTACCATCAGATGCAACTCCGGTACCGTCAGTTTACGCAGGAGTTCTCGTGCTTGCGCTCCCACTTGTAGTAATCAGCACAAGCTCCCAAATAACCGCAACACCTCAATCCGCTAAACCTTCTGCACCACGTCCGAACCTCTGCGGTTGGATCGCAGTCAACGATGCGTCCACCGCTTCGATCGATAGTAGATACCCAGGCGACGGGGTCAAGAGACGAGCGCAGCTTCGCGAGGGGCACTGACTCTAATCTCGTCCGCAACGTCAACTTTCCTGGTTCCTGCATAGGAGATGTTGATGCCATAGGAGTTATAGAACTCCTGGAGCTGCATATGGATGGATCGCAGAGAGCAGGATGGCTGTGTATATGAGGTCTCGCTGTAATGACGACCACAGGGAATCAGTACGGAGGTCACTGCAGCCGGTAACGGATCGGAGTCTCCCTACGCATCAGGAGCTCAGCGCACGCCCCCGTCGTCGCCCCGTACTTAATCTGCTTCGGTCCATGTTCGCTGGGGTAGCCTTCTGTTCGGCAATGATGGCGAGTGTCGTTCCTGAACTCGTGTGAATTATCACAAGCCCGCAGCCCGTCCAGTCCCAAACAAACACATCTCGAACGTCTGGTGCTGCTATCCCTCCACCCTGCTTATAGCTCAGAATAGAATCGGTGTGCTCGAATGGCATCCAACGATAAGACGGCGGACTCTAAGCCGCCATCGCCCATTCGCAGAGCAGGTACGATTACATATATACTATTACGGCGGGGATGTCAGACTGACCGCGGAGTCTTAGGGCCACTCGAGCAATACTACAACGTCGCCAGCCGCATAGGTATCATCCAATGGGTCACCGTCTCTGCGCGCTATGAGCACCCTTCGCTGAATATCGTCAGCAAACCGGTCCTGTTCACGGCGCTCGGCGAGGTTGTGCGCAGCTTGGCTGCGTTGCACGCGCGCTTGCCGCCGCCCTCTGAGCCTCCTATATGGCAACGCCTGCCCTCCGTCAATCTAATCAGGTTAGTGACATGGCTTGACAAAGACAGCAACGACATGAAGGCGGTCTTCGAGGATATTTGTGTCACGCCAACGGACGTCCCGGAGGACATGCCCTGGTGGAAGCTATATGTACTCCGCGATGGGACCGTCATCTTCACTTACGACCATACCATCGGCGACGGTCAGAGCGGCCTCGCGTTCCACCACGCGCTATTCCACGCGCTCAACAGCCTCAAGGATGAAGACATACCCTCCGAGCACTCGGGCCTTGTCACAGACCTACCCCAATACCTCCCGCTGACGCCGTCCCTCGAAGAAGCCGCGCCCCGTCAACTCGCCATCCCCTTCTTCATGTTCATCCGCGTCGTATTGGAGACGTACCTCCCTTTTCTCTTTTCCTGGGATAGAAAGTGCGTTTGGAGCGGGAATCCCATCCCAACCGTGATCACGCCCGAAGTCAACGTTCGCATCCTGCGCTACTCTGTTGAAGATGCCACCACGCTCCTCAAGCTCTCGCGCGAACGCCAGGCGACGCTCACCGCTACCCTACACACCCTCGCACTTGTCGCGTTGTCAAGGCTTATCAGCGCGCTACCAAACGGAGAGGGAGAGAAGTACCAGAAGATCGTGACCGGCTGTCCGATCTCGATGCGCAGGTATACCGGCGCGCCCGAGACCGCGATGTGTGTCCATATCTCCCATAGCGAGGGCCCGCACGATCTGCTTCCTGCCAGTGCGGGCACGGACGCAAAATCCTTCCCTTGGCATGTAGCCACGAGGCACACCGAGTTTCTTAGGGAGGAGGTCCTGCGTACCGGCCCGACCATGGGGATGCTGAAGTTCCTCCCCGGGCGGTACGAGGAGTACTTCCGCGGGCGCATGGGCATGAAACGCGCATCAGGCCTTGTCATCTCAAACCTAGGCACATTTAATCCGAAGCGATCGAAAGGCGTCGAGGGGGCATGGACGATCAGCGACACACTGTTTTTGCAGGGGGATGCAATTGTCGGCGCAGCACTGAAACTGAACGTCACTGGCTCGCCGGAGGGCGGCGTTGGTATCTCAATTACATGGAGGGCCGGTGCGGTCGAGCAGAGCTTCGCAGAAGAGTTCGCGAGGGGTTTCAAGGACGGGTTACAAGATCTGATCAGGGGTCAGTAGGCATAGTACCAGTTCCCCAAATCAAGTTGTTTTCATGACAGAAGGCGACCTGGGCTCGGCTGTCCGTCTTGAAGGAGTTTCTGGGTCTAAGATGTGAGGATGGTGCTGTTCCTACCTTTGATATTCGTTCCGAGGACAGCTCCGCGTGTGCGCTACGGATTGAGAGTCAAATACGATCGCAATCGCGCCCGGACTACAGGAGATAACGCTATAGCTCTAGCAAGCCAAATGTAGTTCAGAACTTGTCCTGCACACGACCTCATGCTAATCGGGTCTACTCACAGCCTCAGTTCCGTCTCAAACTTCTGATCGTACGCGTCCAAGACCACCTTGAGCCTCGTTTAGGCATCGAGTCCGTGCCGTCAGGCGTCGATGCCTGAGTGTCTGCTGTGGGCTCCAATATAAGGTCTGATGACGGCGTCGACAGAGTCTCCGTGGGTGATTGCGTTATGTTAGGCATCAGATGGTCAGCGTGTCCTCCTCGAGACGAGCGAGACTCCCCCTCTCTCCGGCCACGGCTCTCCGTGGTCGTCATGCTGTACTGTAAAGAGACCAAGCTGTTTCCTGCTGTGCCCAAAGGTGACGTCGACCAAGAGTGGTCACGACGGCCACTGCGACGGTGCGGAAAGGATGAGTCTATTTGACTAGAAATACCTGACGTGAATAAGATACCTGCCTTGGGCTTTGTGGTGGCGTCAGCAACCTGAGAGAGGAAAGTCCGGTGTCGACCGTATTTCGTCGATTGGTGGCGCTACTCGGAAGCGAAAGCGAAAGGTCGCGAGGTGCGAAGTGGACGCCTGATCCAAAGGACAGTGTTGGACTCGGAGGGCGACTCGGATGGTCGGACAAGATCTTAGAACGATTCATTGAAGAGAGGGAAAGTTCTGACTGCAGTGTGTGATCATACAGCCTTTCCCCCTCTCCACCGCCGTCACGGTAATCCATGGTAGCTGCTCTCGAATGCCCAACTAGAGGCAGCCTTCGAGATACATCGGCAGAAGGAGACTCCGAAACCTCAACATCAAGTATGTAGGGCGAAGTGGAAGAACGGGGGTCGTCGAGGGTTAGTGATAGGCGGAGGAACCGGGTGCCTTGGCCTGAGGTAATCGAGGCGTAAGTCTGCGTAGCAATACCGTCGTGGAACTCCCACTCCTTGATGTGGTCTCGGCGGCACGGAAGGTGGCCAATGGAGTTTAAGCGCGTAGAAAGGAGGAACAAGGGATGGGCTATGTCGCCACCAACGTCAACCCGTGCACGTAAACCACCCTTCCGGGCGCCATACTCGCATGCACACCTGTCTATGTGGATGTTGATGGTTCCGCGGTCCGCGTTGTCGGGTTTGAGGACAATGAGGCCTGGCTGTTCTGCAGTTGGGCCGAGGACACGATAACCTTGCGCCTCCAAGAGGTTGCATCGCCACTGAGCAAGGACGAGAGGAGGTAGCGCCGGAGACAGCGGTGCAACCGCTTGCAGCTGTGCATGGATAGGCTCGTCGGAGCTGAGCAGTTGTTCCAAGTTCGGCGTGCTGTAACGTATGGAGACTTTGGCGACGATAACCTTGTCTCGATGCTTTGATACGTCGTCCCTAGAGAGACTGACCAAGCGGATCGGTCCAGTCGTCTCCGTACTTCTTGAGCGATACGGGGAGAGAGACGATTCGTGGTCGTAACGATGATCAGGAGCACCGACATACATCGACTCCACATCGAGGTGATTAGACCCGCGTGAACAAAGAACCAAAGCGACGAGGTTCCCAAATCGGGTCTCTCTACAAGCCAGGAAGGCCAGTCGGTGCTCAATTCCAGCTTGATCGTACATGGGCATGATGGCACACTTGGTGCGAATGCCGTAGGGTGTTGTTTCGTATTTTGGACGGATTGGTTGGTCTAGACCGAGGTCGTAAGCAAGAGACTCTGGTGATATGATAGCAATGTCGGTTGCACTGATGAATGGATGAGGGGACGATGCAAGCAGGTATGATTCCGGGTATCTGTTATCATGGTGCTGGAGCGACAGGACAGAAGGCATAGCAAGATGTGATGGAGGAGTGATGGAGAAGAGACTGTCAAACGGAGCCCTGGGCCCCCAAGCGAGAATGCTTTGGTCCGGTATATGCTCCAAGATGGACTGTTGGAGGCGAATGAAGGCCTCCCGCCCTTCTCCGTAGATGGGCGTCATGTTGATATCGAACATGCCAAGGAGGCAGTACGCTTGGTCCTCGATCTTTGTGGTCTGCCGTTGGTAAGCCCACGACATGCGCTGAGCAACGGGCACGGTAGACAGTGGCTGCTCGTGTCTCAGAATGGGGATCGGGATGCCGGTGATCCTTGAGATGGTACTGGCCAAAACATACTTCGATTCGATCGGCCTCCAGTCCTTCGACAAGAACAAGACGTTACACGGTGCTAAAAGCTCCTGCAACGTCCATCCGCGAGTGAACCAGCGACTGCGGCAGAACTTGGAAGTGACGGGCTTGGGATCAAGTCCGTCATTGACATCGTGAAGATAGGCATAGCAAGCCTTGCCAGAGCGGTACCAGTCGAACATAGAGTTGATGGATTCGGTGAGTTCGGCACTACTGGCTTTGTCGATACAACAGGAATCGATCCAGATGTAGCGAAACCCATCCCTCTTGGCCACCTGGCAAGCATGGTACACCTTGGGGGCAACGGCGCTTAGTTTGTCGAACAGGTCGACGGGGTCGGCAGCGGAGTCCTGGAGAGCAAGGAGTTGCTGGTAACTCAACTCGGCGGACTGCCCGTGATCGCTCGCAAGCTGCCAGACGTGAGATAATATCGCATAACGAACAGCTCTGGGGTCGTCAAAGCTCTCGAAGGCACCAGTAAAGGTGTTGAGCAGACGCATCCCTGACCTGCCATTAGTTGCTGTAATATACTGCGGCTTGCAGTACAACGACAAGAAGACGTACTGCAAAGGTACTACGGATGCGGCGGCTCCGAGATTGACACAAGTCCACCCTGCAACTCCACCTGGTCTCAATGAGCGTACTGGTAGAGATCGGCAACGAAGCGACTCGTTACAGTCGTCCTTCGCGGGTAACGCTGGTGCAAGGGCGCTTAGAGTGATATAGGTATATGCTGCACGACGATGGAGATCAAGGCAGAAAGCAAGAATGTGAGAGTCTGGAGTCGACCGTGTGCTAGCAAGCACTGCCACAAAATTGCAATGGCGGGCGTCTTCTAGGGCACACTGAGTCAGCGTCTAAACGCCGAGTGTGTGTCAGTTTATACGGCGCATATGGAAGGCTCGCAGGCTGTATCACGCGCTGTCTAAATAGAATGCGTCACAATCAATACAACATGTTAACACTTCGAAGTGGGAGCGACTATGACACAGCAAGCTCAACCATATCGCTCTCGCGAAATGTCCGATCCACAACGTTAGTTGTCTCGTGAACGTCCCCTTCTCCGATGCGATTGAGCTCCATCAGCAAAAGTGCAGAAATCCCCTGAGGGATCGCACTGATGGCCTGAAACACGAAATCGGGCACGGGCGCTCAATATAGCGGCCCAAATCGCCCAAGCGCGCGATGGCCAGAAGTCGTTGCAATGTTCGTGGGGCATTTCCTGGCCGCGCGATTTTTTGTATTGTATGCACAAGCAGGACATGATGTATATGATACCTACGCCATGAAAGGAGCCTTTCTGACCGTATAAAGAGATCCAGCCTGTCCGACATACTAGAGCACGCGCAATTTGTGCATAGCGAAACCCAGGTAACTAACTACAAGGGCGCGAAGCCAGCCTGCGCGAGTTCGCGTTCGTCTTCGCCTAACTCAACCT